ACTTGTAAACCAACTGTACTTTAGAGTATAAGCCACATGTGGATTGGATCCAGGTTTAATCATGCTTAGAGTAGAAATCAGCAGGACTTAAATTAGTTGTGACTAATGCCAGTCCCAAGGGTTTCAATGAGTGTCCACAAAGTATACCAACATCTGGAGCTAATTCACAAGGAAAAACAAAAGTATTAAAGAGGAGGGCAAAACTGACCAGAAATTATTTTGACAGTGTGGAATTGGCTGCATAGATGATAATGACTAAGCATACAACCACAGAGAAAAGAAGCCAAAATATATACTATATATACTTATTTCAATAAATACTTCTGAGGCATATATATGCTTCTTTCAAATGCAAGCAGTGAGAGAGATGGCTTGAATTCTTAGTTTCCTATGTATTTGGGTATGCTCTATTTAACACAGCAAGTGTTTCCTTTTCATTGTTTACTTTTTACACAATGGGACGCATCCTTCTAACCCAAGGCATCTTTCTAATCCAGCATGAAAGCAAACTTCTTTTTCACCTTTTTTGTGAAGGAATAGTGAAGGGTGCAAGACAAATGGAACAGCCTAATTAAAATGCAGGCATCCAAAATGACACAACATCCGCCAAGAAAAAGAAATGAGTGCTTATATGCTGTGCATTGCACATTGCCATATAGCTGTTCCTCAAATTAAGCTACTTTAGCATCTTTACACAGCCATCTATTCAAACTGTATCTTCTGCTCTTTCATCATCTTTGGCATCACAGTACTGAATGGTTGCAATGGGAGCGGATATTAAGGGCTATTTTATCAGACAAAATACCCTTAAGACCCCTTATAATATATTTACACAGCTCTGCTTTCTGTTGAAGGTAATGGCAAAATAAGGGATAAACCCATTTTGAATTGAAGAGCATCAAATCGATATACCATGTCTACATTTAATCTTCTATAACAGCTATTTCTAAATGTTTTAATTTTCAACACCTCTTCAAACTGACAGGAACCAACTTGAATATGTTAAACTGCTTTGTATGAAGATCAGACAGGCATGGAGCTGCAATTATATACCACAATAGCCTTTTCTTGGTTCACAGCTCTATTCATCTTTTTGAAACACTGAAAGACAGATTGGACATAAGGGAATGGATTAGCCACAGGACAACCTGTATTTCCACACAAAAGCCGAAGTGTGGAAAAATGCACCCTGTGTCAGCCATTCTTCACTTCTTGGGTTTTCTTTTTTAAAAAACTATTCAAAGCAACAGCCAGTTAAGCAGCTCTTTCCCACTCATCTCAGAACAAGCATTGCCTGTTTCCTTACCATTTATGAGTTGTACTGTAATGCGGGATTACCATTACTATGAACTGATTCTGCCCTTCTGTCAAAAATGGCCTTAAAAATAGCATGGTTAACTCTACGTGGGACCATTTTGCATGGGCAGTCAACAAAGGGCAGTTTCTAAATGCAAAGGTAAGCTTTAACATGTCTTCATGTTTTCCAGCAGCTACTTCATCACACTAGAGAATGAATCCAATTTAAATCTGGTTTCTGCCTCCTGCAGAATTCTGGGGTTTGTAGTTTAGTGAGGCTGTTAAAGGCTCCTCCTGAATCTATAAACCCCAGAATTCTGCAGGAGGCAGAAACCAGATTTAAATTGGATTCATTCTCTAGTGTGATGAAGTCCCAGAATAACTTTTCAGAAAACCAGCCAATGCCTTTACTAGAAAATTGTTATAATTAAGTCCTACCGTAAGCTGTAACAAAAACATAAGCATGTCACATGCTACGTACGGTCCAGATGTAGCCATGTTTAGAATAATCATGCTGAAATCCATGGGGAAAGTTAGTTTTCTCCAAGGAAAGTCCTACTAATTGCATTTTCTAACTATACCTATGTTCTAACCATACCTAAGTCCTACAAATCATTTTATGCTGCAGCTACATACACAGGTGATACAATAAGGATCAAAGTACAAGGCCTTAAATTGCTAATACAACTGAGGCTGAGGCATGCTTTGCAAGAGATATTCTTCTGAAGTCATGTTCTTGGGAAGTCCTTGCTTAAAGAGTGAAGAAGCAGGTGCTGTTCAAATTGATAAACACATATTATATACTATTCTGGCAATTAAGCCGGATCACATCAGACAAATTGTAAATTACTGGGTTGATATTATGGAGATCATTTAATTGATCTGCCTCAGAAGAGATGATAAAAAGAAGGTATCTAGGTTTTAATTCAGCACAATAAATTATAGCTTACACAATGGGGCCCAAGAGTGAAATCTATCCCACCTAATGAGTCTATCCCACCTTTCACTACACACACAATGAATTCTGTGTGTTTGTGTGTATCTCAAAAGCGAGGAAATAGAGCCATTCCAATCCTATCACTGTACCAGGCCTCAAAACTTAACAGAAGCAAGTCATTTGCCACTTTTATGCCACTGATTTAAATTAATGATACCAATAACTACAGATATTGGAGGTCCGATTCCTCCCATTGCTTGTCTCAAACTTGGAAGAGATTCCTCACTTTTCCATAGGGCAAAAGAAAATGTACAGTGTCATTCCTACTATGCAAATCTGGATGCACCATAGATATGCTTTGCAAAAGAATGCTCTGAAATAAGACATGAGCATCCGTGTGCTCGGACATAAAAGGCAAAAAGATCCAGTCAAGCAGACAATAAAATGTGTTACAAAACATAAAACTGAATAACCGTGGAATTATTTCCAAACTTATTTAATTATGAAGCATTACTGTACGAAATACAACACAACTCTGTGAATTTTGGTCTTTAATGTTATAGTCAAAATGCTAATAGTAACAAAGCATGGATTAAACCCCAGGTTGCTAAGCTGTCCCTGAAGGTTAGAAGACATTTGCATTACAAATGTACAACAAGAGTAATCATACTCACTACACAGGCACAACAGAACATATAAATAGTATTTGTTAAGGTACATATTACTGGTTTGTTCTCAAACATAGAAACTGCAGTGATTGAATCTGTCTTCTTGTAAATTGTTTCTCCCCACAGTATCTTGTCAAAGGATGTCTCTTTGATTCATTAGGGAAATTCAAAATTATGACTAAAAGGGACATTAAAAAATGTAAGTATAAATAGTGGAGGGCATTCTCTGTTAGTATGTCTGCCTAAAAGAGGAGCCTTTGATGTAATAAGCCAAGGAATGTTGTTTTGTTATTACCATTCAACTCAAAATGTGTCAGTTCTTCAGAGACAGTAACCAGGAATGTGCTCCCCTAAAGAAGAGAGTATTGAAATATCCAGTCTGCAAGGCTATTTCAATACAAAAAAAGAAAGAATGCATTTTCTTCCTATGTCTTATTTCTCCAAAATGGCATATATTTTTTTAAAAAATCCTGGCATGTATGAAATTACACAACCAAAGACACTGCAGTAGCCAATTCGGCAGATATACTTTGCTCAAGATGAACTAAATGTTCTTCTATATTTATTGGTTTGTATCCTCTTATGTTAGTTCTGCTGTTCATAAAGACGTATGTGGACAGATATGAACTCAGATTATTATTATATATTATATATTACATGTAATATTAATATTACATGTTTAGTGGTATAGTATAATGTAGTAATATATAATACTCATATTGTGTTATGCTAATAATATAATATATTGTATGTACATATAACTTGTAAGCTGTTCTGAGTCCCCTTCAGGGTATAAGTACAGTAAATAGATAAATAAATACTGTGCTATACTAATAATATAATATGTTTACATATATACAACTTTTAAGCTGTTCTGAGTCCCAATCAGGGTATAAATATAGTAAATAAATAAATATTGCGTTATGCTAATAATATATATTGTATATACATACAACTTGTAAGCCATTCTGAGTCCGCTTCAGGGTATAAGTACAGTAAGTAAATAAATAAGTATTGTGTTATGCTAATAATATAATATATTGTATATACATATAACTTGTAAGCAGCGCTGAGTCCCCATCGAGGTACAAATACAGTAAATAAATATATAAATATTAAACAGTACTGGTTGTAAATGGTGGTTGGGGGGGGGGTCACTTTTCAAACCTCTGCTACTTTCTTGTTCTTGAAGAACAGCTTCGTCATATTCAATTCCTGCACAAAAATATATTTTCTATCAACCCTATACTAAACTTTCAGGAAGGGCAGCAGCTTGGATAGGAAGCGACTAATCGGAATCCTCATTCCATACAAACCAAAGGCTGTTGCCTCAGTAAGATGGAGGGAGAAAAAAGGTTCTGTTACTAAAAAAAATACAAATAAGACTAAGCATCTATTCAAACATAAGAGCACATCAAGTTCTTCTCGTCCCAAAACATGGAAAATAACAGTTCCCTGATTCTTCATTTGTTGAGGTAGCGGAGGATCCACAACCTATATATCTAATTGAACATTTTGTGAAGAAATCCAAAAATTAGACTGAAAGGCCTCTTCCAATTTGGGAATAGAAAGGATGAGGAAGGAGCATTTTTCTAACCCAGCTCAGCACTTCCTCACCCTGATCATAGAACTTTAGTGCCATCTATTGAAAATGTATGGAAGGAACATGCTTTTGAAGGAGGAGGGGGGGGGGGGAGCAATGCAAAGAAACCCAAAGGATGGCCAATGAGTCCAATTATGAAAACCTAAGATGTAGATCTGAGTTATTTTGATGGTGTACTGATGCTCCGCACTGTGCCGAATCCTATATAACAACAGGAGGGTCTGAAAATGTGGTAAACAGTATCACAGAAGCTCAACCTCAACCAATCAGCCCTGCACTGACTGGGAAGAAACAGAAAGAAACCCCCTTTTTGTCACTTTAGGCAGCCAATGACATAATAATAATAATGGTGAGGATGTGGAGCGAGAAAGAGATGGAGATTACAGAACCCCAGCTAAAAATAATAGAATTTAGGATACATTGAGACCAAAATAAGGAGGAGGAAGAGAAGGGAAAGGGGGAAACAGTGTATGCAGGCATGCAGATATATAATTACCTTCTTTAAGGAGCTGGGAGTGGATGACAAAGATAAGAAAACAGCAGATCGCTGCTCCTGCTAGTGCCCATAAAGCTTTCAAGAGCTGCATCTCGGGGAGAAACTCAGCAGATAGCCAGAAAGTCACACAATGGGTCTCCACCACGGCGAGGCATCAAGGTTTCCCGGGTCTGAGAGCCAGCCAGTAGGAGCCACACTTTCCAAAACAAGAGAGGCAAAAGGAGGGAGGCAAGGGGGCACCCAAAGGGCCAGGAGCAGGAGCGGGCTTTTTATGGTCCCCTCCCCCTTGTGTTGGGTGGGTGGGGGGAGGGAGGGGGAGGAGGAAGAGGAGGAGGAGGTCAGGGCGAAGAAGAAGTCTCCAGCGGCAGCATCCTGCTCTTCAAAAGGAGGAGGAAGGAGAGGAGGAAGAGGAAGCCGGCTCGGGGCTCCATGAATCAGCTTTCTGTCTCCTTAGGAGTTGAGCCGCATCTGAAGAGGAAGAGAAAGAGGGGGAGACTGGGGTTGGGGTTGGGGTGATGGGGAGAGGACAGGGACGTGGGAAAAAGGGGAGCAGAATTGCGCAATCGCTCCCTCTTTGGCTCCAGGGAAAGTGAGAGAGAGAGGGAGGGAAGGAAGGAAGGAAGGAGGGGGGGTGCTGTTTTGCGGCTGGCTTTTTCTCCTCCTCCTCTTCTTCCTCCTCCTCCTCCTCTTCTCCAGTTCAGCAGGGAAACCAATGCGGAAGGAGCCCGCACCCCATGGCGGCTTCACCAGGCTGATTTCCCCCTTTGGCTTCGGGAAATTGGGGAGAAAAAATAATAAGCCTCCAACGACGATGCTTTGGGGAGCTCCCTTTCGACGGCGATCAAGACTCCTCCTCCTCCTCCTCGCTCCCGTTCAAGGCAATTCAATTAATCCTTTCATCCCAGGACCAGGCAGGTGCCAGCTGGACGCGGCGCCGGGGCATCGGCATCTCTCTCTCTCTCTCTCTCTCTCTTTCTCTCCTTATTCCCTCCCTCCTTGGCTCTTTTCTCTCCCCTCTTTAGGAGGAGCCAGAGAGGAGGTTGGGGGTCTTCTTTCCCTCCTCTCCTCAGTCAGGATTGCGACTACAGCAGCCCACAGGTTGATGAGGATGAGGCTGTTGATGCCGCTGCCTCCTCCATGGCTGTGCTTTTCCCCACCGCAGAAAGCAAGCCAAGCACTGGCTGGATCCGACGGGGGAAAAGGGAGGGAAGAGGAGGAGGAAGGGAGGAAGAGGGGGAGGGAAGGGACGCGGCTTTCAGGCACCCTCCCCTCCTTCCCTTGGCTCTCTCTCTCTCTCTCTCTCTCTTTCCCGCCGCTCTTCTTCTCTGCGCCTAGCTTTGGGAAGCTCGAACCTGCCCTCGATGAGCAACTTCCAAGCGGGGGCTGCCTGGGCACCAAAGAGCATGCCCGAGAGGCGAGCCTGCGCGATGGACGGAGGCAGCAGGAGGAGGAGGAAGAAGAAGAAGAGGAGGAGAAAGAGGAAGAGGAGAGGACCCAACCACCCCACTCTTCCCCCTCCCAGGAGCCCAGCTGGCAAGGAAGGCAGGGAGGAAGAGGGCTAGCCAGGGAAGGAAACCCTTCGGGACCCAGCAGAGGGCAAAAGGAGCAGAACCAACCTTCTTCCCTCTTTCCCTCCCCGCCCTTTCTCAAGGTTGCTTTCAAGGCTCAGTCACCGGTGCAATGCCTCTGGATTGGAATGTCAATATGGTCCTACGGATGGAGCATCCCTGACTAGTGCCTACGAATTGTGGGGTTGACACAAGCCCGTAGCCAAGGGGCGGGGACAGTTTAAGGGTTCAAACCAGCCCCGACATTTTTCAAGTGAAAAAAAAAAACAAAAACCTGATAGCAAAGCACTTGATGAACCAACCAGGGCACAGCATATTATTTGAGAACACAGAACAACAACAACAACAACAACAATACTTGGCCACAGTGGTCCACGCTTTGGTTACATCCCGTTTAGATTCCTGCAATGCTCTCTACGTAGGGTTACCTATGAAGACTGCCCAGAAGCTCCAACTAGTCCAATGTGCGGCAGCCAGAATGCTAACACGAGCAGGGTACAGGGAGCATACTACTCCTCTGTTGCACCAGCTCCACTGGCTGCCAATTAGCTTCCAAGCACAATTCAAAGTGCTGGTGTTAACCTTTAAAGCCCTAAACGACTCCGGCCCAGTTTACCTGTCTGAACGTATTCTCCCCTATGAACCATCTAGGTTGTTAAGATCGTCTGGAGGGGCCCTGATCTTGGTCCCACCGGCCTCTCAGGCGCGTCTGGTGGGGACGAGGGACAGGGCCTTCTCGGTGGTGGCCCCTCAACTCTGGAACTCTCTCCCACTGGAGATCAGAACTGCCCCCTCCATTCTGTCATTCAGAAAACGGGTGAAAACCTGGCTATGGGGTTTGGCTTTCGACGAGTGAATCAATATTTCTGTGATTGGATAGATGACGATGAATGATGGACAACGAATTCACTATGACAACTGACCATTGTTATTATGTGATTGCATTTTGCTGTTATAACGTTTTAATTGAATATGTTATATGATGTTTTTAATGATTGTTTTGTGATTTTATTGTTGGAAACCGGCCCGAGTCCCCCGATAGAGGGGAGAAGACCGGTATACAAAATTGCTAAATAAATAAATAAATAATAACAACAATAATAATAAACTTTATTTGCACGGGGATGGTGGTGCAGCTGGCTGAGTGTCAACTGCATTAAGATCACTTCTGACCAAAAGGTCATGAATCATAGAATCATAGAATCAAAGAGTTGGAAGAGACCTCATGGGCCATCCAGTCCAACCCCCTGCCAAGAAGCAGGAATGTTGCATTCAAATCACCCCTGACAGATGGCCATCCAGCCTCTGTTTAAAAGCTTCCAAAGAAGGAGCCTCCACCACACTCCAGGGCAGAGAGTTCCACTGCTGAACGGCTCTCACAGTCAGGAAGTTCTTCCTCATGTTCAGATGGAAGAACTTCCTGACTGTGAGAGCCTGAGTTCAAAGCCAGCCCGGGTCAGAGTGAGAGTCCGACCAATTGTGTTGCTTGTTGTCAACCTTTGCAACCCGATAGACAGTTGCATCTGTCAAGACACTTGCTGGAACACCTCAGCAAGTCCAAAAGTGGCAGGCTCAAACCCAGAACTTCAATCAATGGCTGATACCAAATGAGAGACTCCCCCCTGGGCACACAGAAAACTGGGCGACTTGGAAGGCGCTGAACAGACTGCGCTCTGGCACCACGAGATGCTGAGCGAACCTCAAGAAATGGGGCTACAAAGTGGAATCCATGACATGCGAGTTTGGAGAAGAGCAAACCACTGACCACCAGCTACAATGCAACCTGAGCCCTGCTACATGCACAATGGAGGACCTTCTTGCAGCAATACCAGAGGCACTCCAAGTGGCCAGATACTGGTCAAAGGACATGTAATCAACTACCAAGCTTGCAAACTCTGCTTTGTCTGTTTGTTAAAAAATTGTTTAAAATGTAATACAATTGTCTGGCTGCTACTGACACGATAAATAAATGAATCTGTCAAGTAGGAAATTTAGGTACCACCTATGTGTGGGGAGGCTAATTTAACAAAATTTACGAGGCCATAAAAAAAAGACTCCAGCAATGCACTCCAGCAAAAGCATGCGGTGAATGCGGAAGTACTTCATCAGTGTTGCAGATGGACGATGAAAGCGACAGCTCCCCTCGTGGCCAGAAAAAGTTAAATAGCCTCTGACTGTCTTGCCTATGTTGTGTGTCTTGGCATTGAATGTTTACCATATATGTGTACATTGTAATCCATCCTGAGTCCCCTGCGGGCTGAGAAGGATGGAATATAAATACTGTAAATAAATAAATAAATATTTATACCCCGCCAACATCTCCCCAATGGGGACTCAGAGCGGCTTACATAGGGCCAAGCCCAAACAACATATTACATCAAAATAAAACCAAAACATAAACAACAAGCAACATCATCAAAATTACATGAAAAAAACAATAACAAAATAGCATTAAAATAAACAAAAACACAGTCACAGTAAACAGTGGGTGGGCCACATGTACAGGATAAAATGTTAAAAACTCTAATGATATAAAAAGAGGAGCAAGTTATTTGCAGGGAGCTCATAAAGATACACAGGGTTGAGAAACTAAACTTCCCATTCAGTGACAGAAGCGTTGAGGGGAGCAATAGTGTCGTGTTGTGCACCTACTCGCCAAAGGTGCAGCAGAAGAGCCAAGTTTTAAGGTTCTTTTTAAAGGTTTCTAGTGTAGGGGCTTTCCTGATCTCTCCAGGTAATGAGTTCCAGAGTCGGGGAGCCACAGAGGAGAAGGCTCTCTCCTTTGTGCCCGCAAGAAATGCTGGACCACTCTAACAACCACCATGTTAGACTTCACCAGTGGTTCCCAGCCTTTTTTTTTTAACCAGGGATTACTTGGACTAGGGACCACTCTCAAACATTAGTACCAAAGGGGTTATGAATCAGTTTTTGGACAACTTTCAATTTGGTTTGGTTATTTGGGGTGCGGATTCAGAAAATTGCATTGGATAGACCAAGGAGCCCCCGGTGGCACAATATTTATTTATTTATTTATTTCCTATATTTATGCCCTGCCCTTCTCACCCCGAGGGCGGCCATATGGTGTCATCATCATAAAACAATCAACAGTACATTAAAATATTAAAACAGTAGTTAAAACAATTGATCAACACATGCCTATTAGAAATCGGAATCCAAAATCCAGTTTGGGTCAAGTCATTGCCATAATTGTTAAAATTTTCTTTCACTTGCTGCTCACTGATTGAACCCTTGGTCCCATAGCCAGGTCTTGATTTTCCTTCTAAAAGACAGGAGGGAGGCCACTGATGAGAAGGCCTTATCCCTCGACCCCACCAGTAGCGTTTGCGATGTTGGTGGGATCGAGAGCAGGGCCTTCCCAGATGATCTTAAGTTTCATGATGGTTCATACTAGGAGATACGTTCAGACATGTTTATTTATATTTTAAATAAATAAATAAAACAAATCAAAAGAAATTATTATTATTATTATTATTATTATTATTATTACTTTATTAATATCCTGCCACCATCTCCAAAAAGGGACTCGGGTCAGCTTACAGAACAGCACATAATAGTGCAATGAAAACACATAACATACATCAGCATTTGTAAAAATAACAATATCATTTCACATAAGACAACATTTACAAAACATAGAAAAAACCCAAGTAAATGTAAATAAAATGCTCAAAAATGCAGCAATATCGACTAATTAAAATGGGCAATATTACCACGTTGAACCTGCCAGGCACAAAACAAGTTAAAGTACAAATAAATAGCATCAATATGATCTTAAAACTTAAATGATTAATGAAGGAATAGTTAAAATACATAAACCTCATCATACACCTTTACACCATCAAAATCTAAATAATTAAAGTGCAATTAAAAGTATAAAATGATTATGAGTGATGTTATATATAGAACAACATAGAAACAAACAACATAGAATAGATCATTACAATTAACCCAAATAGGTTGCATTGTCCTTCCTTGTTTGATGTCAAAATTATCATTTAAATAAATAAAAACACTCTAAAATTTCCTGGATGGAGAGAAAATATAATTATAAAGTGCTATAAATCCTGCGCTTCAGTTATGTATCAATTACAGATCTATGTAAGATAACTAAGGCTGGATCCACAGTGCCCTATATCCCAGCATCTGATCCCAGATACTCTGCTTCACCCAGATTATCTGGCAGTGTAGACTCATATAAATCAGGTTCCAAGCAGATCATCTGGGATCAGATCCTAGGATATAGGACAGTGTAAATCCAGCCTAAGATGTAACACAGAAGACACTGGTGGAGTTGTATGGCTGGCTGCCTTCCTTCTTCTCATAGGCTTATTTTTATAGGGTATTTGGGTGTGAGATATATATATTGTACAACATTTAGTAAGTCTGTCTACATGGGTGTTTTTGGAAGTTGGAGTATTTCAGATTTTTTAATTTAAAGGAAGGGATGCTCACCTTGCAGTGATTGATAGAAAAGCAACAAGCAAGCTCTGCTTGAGAGAGAGGCAAAGATAGTTCCCAAAGCCCCCAGAGGAAATGACAAGGAGTTTGCATAGGAGAAGAAATGTGGATTAAATGGAGTTATGGGAAGCCCTGTTTGGAAACCAAAAGATGCCACAGAAGGAAGAGGAAAACAAGAAAGAGGAAGTAGGCAAAGCACTTTCTTGTTTTTTTTCTTTCCCTCACAGCTGTCCCTGTCATTACCTTTCAGTCTGTAATGTCACTGTGGCCTCTTTGTCTTGCTGTTGTTGGCCTCCCTGGGCAAACCTCCTGCTTCTCATAACTACCTATTGACATTCCAGTAGCTCCCCGGAGAGCCCCTATTGGCGTTGCATCTCCTTATCATA